ATGAAGGCTTACGTTGACGACATGATCGTCAAAAGCAAGAAGGCAAGCACTCACGCCGACGACCTCCGGGAAATCTTTGCCATCATGCAAAAGTTCAATCTCCGGCTGAATCCAAAGAAATGCACCTTCGGCGTGCAGGGAGGAAAATTCTTAGGCTACATGGTAAGCCGAAGGGGTATTGAGGCCAACCCAGAGAAGATTCAGGCCATCATCGACATGGAGCCTCCACGCAACGTCAAAGAAGTTCAGCGGTTGACGGGTCGCCTAGCAGCCCTCAACCGCTTCCTCTCCAAGTCAGCCGAGAGGGCCCTCCCCTTCTTCCAAATCATGAGGAAAACGGCGGGCTTCCAATGGACATCTTAATGCCAGGAAGCCTTTGACGAACTTAAAAGGTACCTCTCTTCCCCCCCGGTGCTCTCCAAACCAAAGGTGGGGGAGACTTTATACTTATACCTTGGTGTTAGCCCTGCTGCCATCAGCTCAGTGCTAATCCGAGAGGAAAATGGCATCCAGCACGCTATCTTCTACGTCAGCAAAACTCTCCGGGAAGCCGAACTCGGGTATTCTCCCGTCGAGAAGACGGTGCTAGCCATCGTTTGGGCCGTCAAGAAGCTTGGCCACTACTTTCAAGCTCATCCGGTCCAAGTGCTCACACATCAACCCCTCGGCGCCCTCATGAGGAGCCCCACAAGTTCTTCCCGAATGGTGAAATGGGCCATCTTCCTCAGCCAATACAACATAGATATCCGCCCGAGGCCTGCCATCAAGGGCCAAGCCCTGGCAGACTTCGTGACGGAATGCACGGCAAGATCAGCGACAAGTGAGGAGCCCTCGGCACCTCTTGATGAGTGGTGGACCCTCTATACCGATGGCTCCTCGGGCACCAAAGCATGCGGAGGAGGAGTAGTTCTCATTACACCCAAGGGCTTCCGCGCCTATTATGCCATCCGCTTCTCCTTCAAAGTCTCCAACAACGAGGCCGAGTATGAAGCCCTCCTCTGCGGCCTTCGGCTGGCAGCAAATCTGAGGGCTAAAATGATCCACGTCAAGTGTGACTCCAAACTTGTCGTGGGTCAAATTTTCGGGGAATACGAAGCCAAGGAAGGGAGGATGAAACAATACAAGGAGGCGGCCAAGGAGTTGCTTAAGGTGTTTGAGGCACATTCTCTCACCCAAATACCGAGGGCTCAAAACTCCGAGGCCGACATCCTATCCAAGCTCTCGGATGAATCCCCCGAACACCTCTCGAAAATTGCCAGAATTGAGGAACTCAGCCTCTCAAGCATCCATGCAAGCCCCGTCATGGATATTCACCTAATGCCGGAGGATTGGATCTCCGACATCATCAACTTCATCACCACAAGGCAACTCCCCGAGGATAAAGCCCGCGCCAAGTTAGCAAAGCTTAGGGCTCCCAGCTACACCCTCGAGAATGGGAGGCTCTACAAGAGATCCTACAATGGCACCCTCCTTCGGTGCCTTCATCAGGATGAGGCTGAAGTCGCTATAGAGGAGGTGCACAGTGGCACTTGCTCAGCTCACCAGGGACCCTTCTCCATGTCCCGAAGGCTCGTTGTTCAGGGCTACTTCTGGCCCACAATGGATAGAGATTGTGCGGATCTAGCCCGAAGGTGCGCTGCTTGCCAACACTTCTAGAAGGCGCCCGGCAGACCAGCGGTCAACTATGTCCCCATCAGCACCGCTATACCCTTCTCTAGATGGGGGATTGACCTAGTAGGCCCTCTGCCGAGGCGTACCTCCAACAACAGGTACATCATCGTTGCCATTGACTACTTCACCAAATGGGTGGAGGCCGAACCCCTAGTCAACATCACTGAGGCCCGGTGCCGCCACTTCGTCCTCAAGAACATTCTGACAAGGTTTGGCGTTCCCCAACAAATAATCTCCGACAATGGCACTCAATTTGAGGCAGCCCCCTTCTGTGCCCTCCTCGAAGCATGGGGCATCAAACACACTTTCTCATCCGTTGCCTACCCCCAAGGCAACAGACAAGTAGAGAATGCCAACCGCACCCTCCTCGAAGGGTTGAAGAAGAATCTGGAAGCCGAAGGGGGGGGGGCTGGGTAGAAGAACTCCACAACATCTTATGGGCCTACCGCACCACCCCTCGGTGTGCAACAGGTGAAACACCATTCTCCCTATGCTATGGCTTTGAGGCTAAGGCTCCCACAGAGGTAACCCTTCCTACCCGAAGGATAGAACAGTATGAACCAGAGGTCAACGATGCCAACATGGCCCTTGACCTTCATCTCATCTCAGAACGCCGAGAGCAGGCCTTCCTCAGGGCTGAAAACTATAGAAGACAAGTCAAGGGCTACATCGACGCGAAGGTCCGCTCCCGGGAATTCCAGGTGGGGGACTACGTCCTCCGTCGAAGGGAGGCCAGCCTAACCACCGAAGGCGGGAAGATGGCGCCGAAGTTCGAAGGCCCCTACATCATCACAGCCATCATCAAACCGGGAACATACAAGCTAAAACGCCCTAATGGGACAGAGGTCCCTAGGCATTGGAATGTGCACCACCTTGTCAAATTCTATCAGTAAAACATGAGTGGCCAAGCCCTCATCCTCAACAAGTGTAATGATCAATGGCCCAAGGCCCCATCCGTTTTGAAAGAATAATCAAAAGGCCAAGCCTTCATCACCTATATGTCACACAAGCGGCCCAAGGCCCCCTTCTCTCCTAAAAATAAGTGGCCAAGCCCTCATCTCTTCACCAAAACAGGCCCAAGGCCTCTTCCTCTCATGAGGGGAACACCAATTTAGGTACTAAGTACCAAGTGTATGGGTCACCCCCATCACTCTTTGAAAACACCAAGTGTTTTCTCAATAAGCCGTACCCCACGAGGACGCAATCATGCATACATTATGCATAATTATACATACTCTCCTAAAAAAAACAGGGGGTGCAACACCCCTCGGCCCCGGCTGGCACCAAGTGCCCCGGCTGTTTGTGTTCCACACACAAATAAAACCCTTCCCAGAAACGCTTTCCGCGTCATCCCCCAAGGGGAGGCAGGCAACGGACCATGTCCCGGGCCCAGGATTCGACGTTCACAAACGAAACGCTCCCCGCGCTATCCCCCTAGGGTAAGCAGGCAACAGACCATGTCTCGGGCTGAGGGGACGACTTTCAAAACCGAGGCGCTTTCTGTGCTATCTCCCAAGGGGAAGCAGGCAACAGACGATGTCTCGGGCCAAGGAAATGACCCTCAAACCCTTCGGGATATCGGAAGGTCATTCCCAAAGGGGGAGCCAACGGTTTATTCCGTTGCCTCCCATATAGGCCAAGCCTTTCCTAGAAACCAAGTTTCTAGATGCCTCTCCTACATCATTAAAAAAAAAGGAATGTGTAGGGGGGAAGGAACTCCCCGGATACTTTTTTCCCCGAAGGCTCAACAACAATTCGAAGACACAGTACCGAAGGCTTCCTCAAACACACGAAGGAATCTATCAACACAAGGTCATTCAACACACGAAGGAATCTATATGCACCGGGGGCCCAAGCAGTTCCCACGCTCGAAGGCTACCTACAACATCTGTTGAAACTTGGTGAAAATTTTGCTAAGTCCAAAATTTGGAACCCTTCGGCGAACAACCGTGAACTTCATTACAACCAACAGGCTTAGAGCCGAAGGCAACCTCAATTTACTCGACGAGGACTTAAGGTCACACCACAAACCGAAGGCTCAATGACGCTGATGGCCTAGGGTGAAATTAAAACTTCCTAAGTTTAAATTTGCTTCTAGCCCTCGGTCCTACAACTACAACCCAGAGGCAATCCCAAGGGTTCATTACCGGAGGCATACAATGGAATCTTACTTAGAAAATTTTCTAAGTCCACAACAATAAACCCCGGCGATCCCGGTATACAACTGAGGGCTACATGGCAAAGTTCTCATTAAGAACAATTTTCCAAGTCCAATACTACAAACACCCGGTGACCTTGCACCAGGACCGAAGGCATACATTTAGCTGAAGGCATATCCTATGGCTCATCACCGAAGGCTATTATCCGACAAGCACACCTAGAAATTTTTCTAAGTCTACACCGATGAGCTCTCGGTGATCCTGCACTAACCCGAATGCTGGAGATTACGTGACCCCAGAAACTCTACATTAGAACCGAGGGCTATATTGATCAGAATTGGATTGGAAAATTTTCTAAGTCCATAACAACAACGACCCCTGGTGATCCTACAATACACCCGAGGGGTCCTGATCGAGTGCTACAACCGGAGGCTCTGACCCCGACATTACGCTTAGAAAAATTTTCGAAGTCCACAATCTCAAAGCCCCTGGGAATTTACAAAAGGAATAACCGAAGGCTCAGGGTCAAGTTCAAACTCAGGAATTTTTTCTAAGTCCACAAGACAAACGAACATACAAAAAAACGAAGGAAGCACATTGAGGAAAGGAAGGAGGCATTCATTCAAAAAGCCCGAAGGCAGAACATTCATTCGTTGCAAAAGGAAAACGTAGTTGTTTACATTTTTAGCCGAAGCCGAAATCTACAGGCTATTACAAATGGTACTTAGAGGAATTTCAAGATTGAACATTTGCAGCCCCATCCTCCTTTGGCTTTGAGGCGACATCTTCCCTGCCCTCTTCATCGTCATCGTCATCACCAGCCTCCTTCGCCAGCTCGGAATCTTCGAGCAACTCTCTTTCCTCGCCTTCGGGCAAAGGGATCCGGACATCTGGCTGAAGTGGGAGGAGGCCATAGGTTTCGGGGTTGAAGTCCTTTTGGTCCACGCCGAAGTGCCGGGCAAGCCTCCGGTAGATCATGGCTTGAGTAAAATACTCGCCGCCTTCATAATAACTCTTCCCTTTGAAAGCAAGCCATAGCGCTCCGGGGCCCTTCACCCACTCGTCTACCGAAGCCTCGATGACCGAAGCCACCCATTGCTTCCGGTTCTCATCCTTCCAGCCTCCGGCGACAAAAGCATCAACGACATCTTTCTCGGCTTGAGCGACGGCCTCTTTCCTCGCCTCCTCGGCCATATCAGCAGCGGCCTTAGCAGCAGCGGTGGCGAGCTCCTCTGCCTCCGCCTTACCCTCAGCTTTACCCTCCCTCCGGGCATCCTCCAACTTCTGCTCCATCTTTCGGAGGGTCTCCTCCAAGGTCACCATCTTCCGGATGGCCTCGGTGTTAGTCACAACGAGCTTCCTCAAAGCCTCGTCGGACTCCGCCTTCTGAAGGCGCAACTGTTCCACCCTTCGGATATGTTCTTCGAGGGCTACACTGGCCTGCGGACATACGAAGAAAAAACAGGGGGTCAGACCACTACGCCATGAAAAGATTAAGCGACTAAGGGAAGAAAAATAGTGAGACTTACAGTCACCGAGGCCTGGAGAAGTTTGGCGTCCAGGGCAACGTCGTCATGCCGGCCGAGGGTCGACCTATCCAGTGAAGGAGTAGCCCCGTTCAGGAACTCCATCGGGTCCAGGGTGCCATGCGTGATGGCAGTCCCTTTCTTGATGGAGAACTGGATGTTCTCCCGGGGCCAGGGCCCATCTTCCATCTGATCCGGAGGAGGGGCGGGAACAGTCACCACCCCCAGGGGGGTCCCTGAAGAAGAGTGGCCTTCGGAGATGACCAGAGGGGCGTCCTTCGCACCAACGATCTTCTTGGGTCTCTTACCGGGAGCTGCATTGCTTTTTCCCGGCGCCTTTCTCTTTGCCGCTTCGGTCCTCAGGGCGCCAGCACCCTCGACAACAACTTGGGAGGCCCCCTCGGCCCCTTGGTCCTTCACAGCTTCTTCCCTCTGGAAGAAATCTTCAACGGGCCTCTGCTGGGAGGACCCCTCCGCATTCTTCTTTTTCTTCGGCTCCTTAGCCAATTGCTTCTTGAGCTTTGCGAAGTTTTTCGCATCCATCTCTACACCTGAAAAAGAAGGAAAACATACGAAGATTAGTTACACATAAAAAGAAAGCACAAAGATATCCTAAGTACAAAACTCGGAGCCTTCGGCAATCACCTCCGACACTTTCGAACACCCTATCTATCGGAGGGTACTCGTCACCAGTCTCCCCCATCAGCCGGAACCGCCGGAAACCCAGGCGAAGCAGCTCCTCTGGAAGGGTGGCATCCTTGATGGTCTTCTGCTTGTCCGAGCCCTCCGGCTTGGCTACCAGCTTTTTCCCCTCCTTCGCAAGAAAAGCATTCCCCACTTTAGGATGCCTCTTGAAGTTGTCGCGAAGGGGGGCAGGGAAAGGATTCTCCTCCATCCGAATGAAGCAAAACTTGTCCTTCCACCCTTTGTGGGAGGAAGGAACCTCAGAGAACAGCCTCCACTCTGGAACCTGTTGAAGATTGGCAAAGCCCTCACTATTGGTGTGCCCCCCCGGCATAGGTTGAATGAAAGGAGAAATTGATCCAGTGAGGCCTCCACTCCCCTTTCCCGGCATAGAGACAAGAATCCGGCTAGGTAAGAATGGCTGTTCGGAGTTGTCACGCCCCGGACCTATCCGGACACGTCAACAACCCGCCGTACAATACGAATAGTCAACCGCAGTCCAACACATTCATATTATACAAGGTGTCTTGAATATCATTCACACATATACATCCATAAACAAACATAATAAGTAATTCATAACGCAGCGGAAAACATTGTTTTAAACAAGAAGGCCACACAAGGCATTTCATGAGCACGCAGTCTCCATAGTAAAATATCCATGAGCAAATTTATTAACGTTTCAAATAGAATGGAGGAAGCACGAACCAAGTCTTCTCTCCTAGGAATCACTCGATCAACGAGCACAGGATGCAAGCTCTAGCCTCAACCTGAAATGGTGGTGGGACGCCCCCGAAGGGGTCAGTACTCTATACGGCTATAAAGTACTGGTGTGGCAGGCATCTAATAGATATACAACAAGTATTTCACACACAAGACCCTCAAATAGGGTGATAATATAGTTTAGGTTGTAATCCCAAATTACCCCTTCAAAATATATACTTACTTTATATAAAGTCAAGTAGTCGACTCAAAGGCCCATGTTTATCACAAAACATTTCCCAAACCCCGTGGCTAATAGTCACGACATACATAGGGTCCAACCCTAATATAACTTCTCATTTCTAGAGTTCGGCTCGAGTACATCATCATGCACTCGCATCATAGATCTCCTACTTCATGTAATCATATCATGGATCTCCTACTTCGTGTATTCATCCCATAGATCTCCTACTTCATACAATCACACCATAGATCTCCTACTCCATACAATCACACCATAGATCTCTTACTCTATGAAATCACAATTGACACTTGAATCTCATTCAAGTTCATCACAAACAAACTCAAACCTTAAGTTTGATTCTAACACATTTAGGACAATCCTTAACTAGCATCACAATACTATTAAGATTACTCCTACAACTCATCTATCATTAATGGTAGCCCCTCCATATCAATAGATATGTGGCATCCTCCCATGTGTTAGGCATCATCATGAAATTATACATTTACATACATATAACATTCATACATGAATTGGAAAAGTCAATTTACCATATTAGCATACTTCTATCTCACATAACTCCATATTCATCAATATGGTTTCAATTCATGATCAAGTCCATTACTTATCATTCATATCATGTTCAAGAATATTTATTCACAAAAACATGATTTAAGCATTTAGGTAATCTCATGCATAACCTACAAGTTGTAAGCAACTAGATGTCGGTCCTCACCTCAAATGAGCTTTAAAACTTTCCTTCTCAATCCAATGACCAAATCCTCGGCCAAGAAGGTTTGAGAACTGATTCCTTGCTTGGAATTGAGTGTTAAACAGCCTCCTCAAAGTGCTAGTTCAACCTTTAAACGTTGGTACGAAAACAGCCCCTAGAATGGGTGTTTTCCGGCTAACTCGTTTCCTAGTTTTCCAAGATTTGCTCTAGGTTAGTATCTAACCTTTACACAAATAATAATAACTTTTTAAGGACCTATTATACACTTGGATTAGTGTATAATAGTTCCACCAATCGTTCATATCATTTGGAAAATGAAAGGAAAGGTTTTGGGGTTAACAACTCACTTTAGAAGAGTAGATCCGTTTCTGCGAGGTTGTGTTTTGCTCGGACGATTTGGAAGCCTTCCACTACTCCGATTGATTCAAACCATACCTTCACGGATTCCACGTCTTGAGAGATTTCTTTTGGTATCTCACACGACTTAATTGGATTGGTATAACTCGAGATATCTACCAAACAGCTTCAGCACTCTCAGAGCTCGAGTTTACAGACCACTGCTCACTCCAGTTCGATTTTTGTATGATTACTCTCTCCTCTCGAACAGAGACCACTCAACTATGAAAATAAACTTCAAATTCTATCCAAGGACACCTTAATCAAGCTATTTGGGCGAGTACAACTCTCAAAATGAAGGGAGACAAAACAACACACCTGTTTGTGCGAAAACAGTGGTGGTGGCCCCAAAATTTGATTCCAATTGTGTCATGGGCAGTGCTTCTCCATGTGGTGCGGCCAAGGTGAGTCTTCTCACATATTTTCCTTGTCTTGCAGGTACTCAAGCCACATGGAATGCTTCCCAATTGATCTCAATCAAATTGAGGTCCAAAATATCTACCAATACTTCCAAAAACAAAATGGGAAGATGGGTCCTATTGTTTTATCTTTTGTCAAAGATGCCTTTTTGTACTCATCCTAATTTATTTAGAACAAGTCAACTTCCTTCATCACATTATTGATCTCCAATATGTGTAGGTTCATCTCAATAATTTACTTGATGGGTATCATAGAAGAAAAATCCTACTCCCATTATTTAGCTCAATAATGTCAAAGATGGGGCTATAGGCATTTGTATTCCTCTCTAATCATTCTATCACTTATTTTGACATTTGTCATACATATTATTGGGCTACTAGCCATGTGGGTCATCCCCGAGTGGGCCTACGACGCCATCCTCGAATACTTGCTATTTTAGCGGGTTGAGCCCAAAATAATATCTGGGCTGCCCGCCTTTTCTCAACTTGTCTTGAAACGTTATGTATCACTATTTAGATAATGTTAGGCTCTTTTATTTATTAATAAGGCCCAAATAGTATTTGCATGCCCGACACTAATATACGAGTTCGAACAGTACAATAATCGATCATTAATTACGTAAAACATTAATCGTTTTACAATTGTTTGGGAATCAGAAATCCAATACATAAACTTTGAATTTTTTAAACCAAATTTTCAAGGACGTTCGGGTGCGGTGTCACAGGAGTAATCTGGAAGGGGGCGAGCTTGACGAAGCGGAGATACTCCAATACGAAGGGGTGGAGTGGGAACCGAAGACCCAACTCCACAGACAGAATGTGCACCGCGAAGCATCCTTCGGGAGGGTGTAGGAGCACATCATCTGGCCCCGGCTCTACCACTTGTGCCGAAGGCCCAGCAAAGAATTGCGTCGCCATATATTCAGCATGCGTGGCCTTGGTTTTCACTTCTAGAGCTGCAGTGTTCAAATATGAGTGCCCCTCCGGAATTCCGACGGGTCGGCCGACGTCAGCAGCGGCTTGTTTCTTCTTAGAGGGCCCCCGGATCTTCTTCTTCTCCTTGCCCGGGGCCACACTGAGGGGCTCCGGATCAAGGGGCCTCGAGCTCCCTGCTTCGGCATTATTAAGAGGGGGTGAGACAGCGATGGTCACTTTCATCCTCTCCTTTTCTTCTTCCTCCTCGGCAGTTTGGACCGCGAGGGCCATCTCCTCGTCTTCAATCACTTGCTCAAACTCCTCGGCTTCGGCCTCGGTTATGAGCCGGTTTTGGACTTCGGCAGCTACTTGCGAGTCGTTGATGTCCGAGGGCTGCTCAGTAGAGGACTCCACCTCAGAAATGCTTTCAGATTGCACCGGGGCCTCCATCGAGATGTTCTGAGAATCGGTTTGCGATGACATTTTTGGTGCTAAGGGAAAGAGTTCTAAGAGGGAAGACTACCTAAATACCCTGGCCGAAGGCTACTAAGGCCACTAACACTCGATCAAAGGGAAGAACAGCAAGAAGTGCTAAGTGCACGAAGAACAGATGAAGAACTAACCTTATGAATCGGAGTTTGATTGAGGGCAAGGGTTTCTCTCTCTAGAATTTTTGGCAGAGCTTCGCTATCACAAAAATCGCACAGGGGAAATGACGCAGGCCTTGGGGTATATATAGGTTTTCAGTGTAATACCCAAGATTAATTTAAGAGGATTAATAGTACTACTCATACCAACAGAGGTGCATCTCCTTTTAAGGGAGCTCATCACCCAAGAACTCCAAAGTTAAGCGTGTTTGCACGGGAGTAGTCTTGGGATGGGTGACCCCCTGGGAAGTTTCTCAGGGCGCGCACGAGTGAGGACAAAGTGCGCGGTAAAGGCTCGTGGTGGTTTGTGGGGACAGTACTATTGGTCCGGAGTAACGACCTTGGGTCCGGTGGGGGCCGGGGTGTTACAGGTGGTATCAGAGCAACCCTGCGACAGTGTGCTGATCCGTTGGATATCAGGCGGGCACTTAGCAGGGGAAAAGATTCTGGGGTGTGATTGAGATTGGTTTAAGGGCG